TACTACACACACATATATATATATATATATATATATATATATATATATATATGCTAGGGTGCTCACACACTATGGAGTAACTTATCACTGTACTCAACAATTTTGGACACTTCTATACCCTTGTTTTGTACATAGAGAATTTTTTAATAGGGGTATTTTTTGTCATAAGAGGGTGTAATGTTATCCACATGGGGTGTAACATCACCCACGTGGAGCACACTAGTGGCATTTAATATTCTATGTGGGTGATGTCGCACCCCATGTGGATGACGTCACACCCTCCTAATGACCAAAAATACCCTTATTAAAAAAATTCTTCATGTACAAAACAAGCTTATAGAGGTATCCAAAATTGTTGAGTACAATGATAAATTACTCCATAGTGTGAGCACCCTAACATAACATATATATATATATAAGAGAGAGAGAGAGAGAGAGAGCGGGTGGCATGAGGAGGTTGTCTAGGCCAGAGGGGTTAAAGTTCAGTGGTACTTACAAAATATAGAGCCACTCTCAATTTCAAAACCAGCAATACTTGGTAAAAAAAAAAAAAGGGTAAGTGTATACAGCATGGATAGATTTCTTCAGATACTTAACATAGGATTTCACAAACCTATTCTTGACTTCGAGACTGCGCATCGGAAGATGAAAATTGTGAACAACCGCAGCTCTTGGAGATATCCATCTTTTCGGAATCCTAAGAGCCAAAACATATGGTCAATATTAAGGCACAAGAGATTTTTTTCATTTGGCATTAGGTCTATCTGTAATCCTACACTAACTTTATGACTGAACACTTCTAAAGAAAGAAGAAATCAAGAAAAATAATAAATGCTGGGACAGCCTTCTGCATCGGATGCCTAGAAAAATCATACATTTTAAGTTTTAACAATTAACTCTAATAACATGTAATTGTCAATCTGGCAAGAACTATAAATAAAAATATATAAGTAAAAAAATAAAATAAAAACGCATGGCGGTGCAATCCTACAAAAGATGAACATAGGCCTAAACTGTTGTTCTCCATGCTTTTATTATTAGAATACTAGGGTCTTCGATGTTACAATACCAAAACACTTCATTTAAACAATTTTTAAGAAGCAATTCTATCTGGTTAGAGGGCCATATGATAACATCCTTAAAGCACCTTTTATATCATGTCATCAAAACAAGTTCTGCATTTCCAGATTGAAAACCATTAACAAAAACAACTGCTAGACTTAAATAACATAGCTTAGATAAAAATAGGCCGGTAACTTAGAAGTGAAGTGTTGTGACATAAACCAATAGGAACATATGAGCCGAGGAAATCAATGCCAAATAATGCATAACACGGGCAATATAAATATGTTTCGAACGACATCAAGAAATAACAGGACCCCAATAGATGTCAATGTCATCTTTTGCTACACACTTCTACTTTTTAAAAGGACTATCCATTCAGGGCACATCTATCTTTTCACAAAATAATGGATTGAGAGAAGCTAAGCAAAAGGAAGCCTTGCACAACAATCCATATGGTTCTTTGGTTTGGGCTTTCGGGCTTATAAGGAGATTGCCGGTTGTTTATAAGGCCTAGGAGATTTGTCTAAGGAAAAGCAAAGAGAATTTGATAACAGGGACACAAAAGAAGTTATGGAGCCAAATAGTCTGTTAAGAAGTTTTTTCTGCTAGTGAGTCCTCCAAAACCACTGGCCCCTCTCTTTCCAAAAGTGAAACTTTTTCAGTCAAAAAGGAAAACACGAGACATTTTTTCCTTTTCTTTTTTCTATATAATTCCATCCATGCAACGCTTCCATTCAGTAGGTTTCTCAGAACAATAAAACACATAAAAAAAAAGGAATATCAGAAACAACCTTGTCATCTTTGTGAGTGTTGTGTTGTTTTTCAAGAAATATGAAAAGCGAATTACATAAACTGAGAGTCACAGATAATGTTGAGACAAGATAGATTAATAAAACTGTGATTCTGAAATATCTGATAATCTTGCATGCTCGATTAAGTTTTGTAAAAAAAAAAAAATTCGATTAAGTTTTGTAAAAATTGTGCCCCAGTGGGCCCTCTTCCACAATTTCCTTTTAAAATAAACACCAAAGTCAAAACTTTTGCTGAAAGGGAAAAACACAGCCTTGAAAATTTTTAAAGGGCATCGCTAGTAAGCATATCAATGTTGCTCATATATATGATATTAGGCACATATACATCTCAACTCACGTTTTTCAATGATTTAGTTCCCGCCTTCATCAGAAAGATTGTAATTGAAATCATCGACTAACTAGATTGTGAACCATATGGAATGGCTAAGGTGGCCAAATCTGCTTGGTTTCCTTGACACATGTTATGTGGATTAGATCCCTTGGTTCATAGAAGAATACAAGCAAGAGGCAAGTGCAATTGAAATTTTGTGGTTCACAAAAAGGTCTGCAAACCCAGGTAAGAATGATATTGTGTGAGGTTTGTTAAACAAGCACGTGGCATGACCATGATGGTATTGAGAGAGAGAGAGTCCATGTTTTCAATGCTATTACCGTTTCAATGCGGATTTTTTGATTGAGTGGGGGCATTTGCATATCCAACTGTTTTTGTGGCTCGGATATTCAAGATCTAGCGGTATTTAGCTACGGATACCGAGATGACAAAATCCCTGTTGAAGTACTTGTTCATTCTTGGTGGAGCAGCTGTTCTTTGGTATTCAAAGAAACAGGATATTGTAGCAGTCCACCATGGAATCCGAAGATGTGACCTGTTATTTAGCTGCAAAAGAAGCAGTGTGGTTGAAAAAATTCCTAAATTAGCTCAGATTTGACCCAATGCGATGCGAGTACATAAGGACTTTCTAGAACCACCAGTCTGCAATCTATGTGACTAAGGAGTCACAGTTTCATTAACAGTCCAAGCACATCAAGGTGGATGGCTACCACATTCAGGACGAGATCCAAGCAAGCGAGATTGAGGCACCAATCTCTTTCACAAAGGCAACGTTAGTGGATCCTGTAATTTAAGAATTGGTGGCGAATGTGCTCCCCAAATATGTTCCTTGTAACGGGCTTGGGCCTAAGAATGTAATGGGGGTGAGAGATTGTAAGGCGTTCAAAGGCCAGTGGGAGATGTTGGGATTTGTGGCCCTCAAAGGCCTTGAGAGCATATAAAAACTATGACCATATTGATATTGTCCTCCAGTGGGAGTGTGGTCCATGTAGGACCAACGTAGCATTTTGTGGAGCCCATTGACTCACCTGAGTTGAGTGATTTAGGCCTGCATCAAGTCTAAGTCCCTTTAGCCCTATACATAGGGCACAACCACAGAGAGCATGTAAGGTAATATCTTGTTGAGGTCGGAAAAACACCAAGCAATATTTGGAAAACATTAGGTGGGCACCTAGAACCTCAGGCGCCCTGAGGTAAAATAATTTTATATAGCCTTTCTTATTGGAAATAATTTTACAAATTTATTCTCCATGGCATTTTTACAACTCCATACAAAGTAGTAGAAAATCAAGGGAACGAATTATCATCTATGGAACAACATTGATTCCCACTACTTTTGAAAATTTATTAAAGATGATTAAATATAATAACATAAAATTCTACCGTATGTTATAAAATGATTGTACTTATAAACAATTGAAATAGAAGGCTACAGTTGCATGATGATGACGAACAAATGCACACCTCCTAATGCACAATGTAAGCTCAAGATACTTGCTTGGCAAGGAGTTCGATCCACAACCAATTCTTTTAGCAAGTTATAAAATGATGTAAACGTCAAACCAATGCCCATCAACTTGCTTTTTTGCATAGTTACCCTTAACCGAGGAAATCTCAACGCAACAAAAGAATAGCCACAGTCTATCAAACCACTTGGGGATAAACCATGCAAAACACCAAGTCATCAGCATATTGGAGTTGAGAGATAGTAGGGCCTTGGTGGGTGGCCAACCAGATTGCTAAGTGCCTCACAGAAGAGGGTGCTACAGGGCAACCACAAGTGGTAGCAAGACTAATGCACACCATGAGGAGTTTATTGCCACCTCTTTGTCACTATGGGAGTACACAAATCATCCTTTTTGTTTCTTTAGCGACCTAATGAGCATCCTGACCCACCATTTTTGTTGTGGGAATTTATAGACCCCATTTTTTGGTTCTATGTGAAAGTAGTGACTATGTGGAATTCCAAGTAGTAAAATCATAAAAATTTCTCTTTTCTTTTTTTAATGCATCTGAATTCCATTTACATGTGCAACAAAATGTTGCAATAATAAGAAATAAAAACCTAAATACAACTCAGGATCTTCCCTTTTACTGCCAAATAATAAATGACTCAATCCAGGAGCTAAATACAGACTTGATCAATATCATCATTCAAGCCTTATCCCAACTATTTAGGGTCGGCTACACGAATTCTATTCCGCCAATGTGCTCTATCAAAGCATATCTTCAATCAAATCATAAGCCACCATATCTCTTCTTGCTACTTCCATTTGTGTCCTTTTGGGCCTCCCCTTGCCCTTTTAGCGCTTTCCACTTGAACTAAGTCGCCCCACCAAATCGGTGCTATATTAGGTCTACGTTGCACATGGCCAGCCGCAACAGTGCTTCACTTACAAGGAATGCTCTAGGCATGGCAAAGTTAGCTAAATACAAACTTAAACTATGAATTCTAGCACATCTATAATTTTCCTGAAATTGAACTAAACATGAGCAAAAATGACTGAAAACAAACTTAGAACAGCCGGGGAGACATACTTGACTTTGCCTAAGTCACCCCCTTAGGACTTGGTACATCCCACACCTGATTATCAAACTGATATCACTCTAATACTATTGGCCCTACTGAATTCTCTACGTCGAAAAGCTTCCTTAGGCAATACCTTTCAGATCTAGGGTTTGAGAGCAAAAACAAGAATTTCGGTTTTTTTACCCCTCTGGGACCTTTCTAAGGCATGGCACATCCCTTGGTCAAATTATGTTTAGGCATACCCCTCTTTCTAACCCCTAGCTACCTAGAGAGTGGTCTGCGCCACCCCTTATGGACTAGAGAGGAGAGAAAGCGAGAGACAGAGACAGAGACAGATACAGAGAATGGGGTAGCGTGGAGGAGAGAGGGAGAAAGAGAGGCTCGAAACTTGTGTAGAGAATGGGAGAGGTCCCCTTGTGTATAGCCTTAAAGGGGGTGGGTCTAGGTATGCTTTATCCAATTATGACTCATTTGAGAGAGAAACAAATATGAGCTATCCCTTCCAAAATCAGCCATCATAGTTTAGGGAGGAATCTAGAAACCTTATCCCCTAAATCTCTGACTCACATCCACTTCTAGTCACCCTAGGATAAGCCCAATCAAAAAATATATTCCAATAATTCCCTTTTTTCTCACAAAGATTGTAGAAATTCAAAGTCAAAATGTTTGGTCAAAGATTCGAAGAATATTTTCAAAAAAAAAAAAATTTGCTCCCACAAAACACTGACAATCTTTTTCAAAGATTTCCTTAAGCTTTCCAACCAGAAACAAACTCTTTTCTTTAAAAAATAATTTCGAGAAAGAGAGAGGGCGGAGGGGGGTCCCACTTTATATGTGACGTGTGGACCTGTATGGGCTCCTCATGTCACACATGTGGGTGCCGTACACGTGTGTGGATGGATCCAGGGGCACCACATGTGTTCCTACTAGCCGATCCACAAACCCAGAAATTATCTAAATGCCCTTTAAGGGTTTTTACTGCTGAAAGATATTTTAAAATTTCTCAAAAATTCTAAGATTCACATAAACATTTATTAAGTTGAAATCAAAGTTTCTAAAAAGTGGATTGGTACCAATGAGTCAAGAAAAGTGATTGTCAGGGCACTCCAGTTGACCTAGTAATCATGATCCATAACTATCTTCTCACACCAACCCAACGAGACCCATGACCCACAATCTCATGTAGGGACTCATGATTGACTCGTCAAAGCTGGCCAATATATAGTGAAACCATGGTCCGGAATATGGATTACAGATCCCCGCTTACGAGCAAGTCATACGCACATATCGTTAGTGTAAGGGGGACTCTCTATGCACATGTACATGTACCCTTTATAAGGTTGCTTCCCAATATACGACTGTTACGTGAACATGACATACATGCCATGAGAAAGCTTGTTGACCATTTAGGCCTTACTCTCACAGGCCTAAATCCTCACATAGGAGACCACGAAGCTCGCTTGGCCTACAAACCATCCTTAGGAATCTCTCTGGCCTCAACCACATATGACCTAAAAACCCTCTACAATAGTGCCATATGCTCAGGAGAAAGGATTTTGGACATGACCAGGGCTATAAAATGCCTAACCCTAGGTCAGTCAACCAACGCACACACTCCCACTTAAGTCTACAATCCACTATGAATCTTATTTACATGCCCACATGGGCTTTAGGCCAGAAAACCCCAACATTGTGTAACTTATTGAGCACTTGACTTGTGAGCTGCCAATTCTTGTAATCATGCAAATCCTATTATACTATTCTAAACGGAACTCCACTTTGATACCTCAATTAACACAGGCATCCAATACATAAATACAATGAACTGGATAATGCCAAGCGGTTGAAAAATGCAATAAACATAAGCCTCAATTTCAACACTTTTGAGTACTTCACCATAAACATTTTATGATACCTATCAAAGAAAACTACCCCATGTTTTTTGAATCCCAAATTCGAACAATGGGCAAGATAAACACAAAAATCAATTACAATTGTTTTTTTCTGTTGAAAGTCGATACTATAAGAAAATAAATCATAACCACTAGATCAAAAGCACAAGACATAATCCAAAAGATCTCAAACACATCAACTAATGAAAAGAGCAAGCATGAATCAAGAGATCATCATAAATAAATAAACAAACAAACAAATAATATATAGCATTGAAATTACCAAAATATAATTGAACTAACCTCCTCTTAGTTTTATTGGCAACTGTATGCAATGACAGCTGCGTGGTAGAACTTCCCAAAAGGAGATGATAGTCCGTCACAGAAGACATTGGCCAGCTGGACGTTGAAAAGTCTACTCATCAAAGTTTAATAAAGCAAATAAGTTCCACCAAATAATGTACAAAAAAATAAGTACAATGGAAGCAATCTTCAGCACCGCACACATGCAATCTCTCTCTCTCTCTCTAAATCTTCATCACCGCACGCATGCAATCTCTCTCTCTCTCTCTCATACATACACACGCGCGTGCATAAACACCAGCACAAAGGCACACATTTGTTTATTTTATGCATTTACTTAACTATTTAGTAATTTATTTATTGGGAGTGATTTCAAGTCACAATTTCATTGTAATAGTGGATATATGTGTGTTCCACATTGAAAAAGTAATTAAAAATGTAAGAACAAAATATTTAAAGAATACAAAAATAATTAATATCCATATTTTATAAAAAAACATTTTGACAACTTGTTTATTTTTGGAGGAAGGTTAACTTACATGTATAAAATAAAGATGTACATAAAAGAAAAACTAATAACAGCATCCCAAAAACTGGGTGCTCGGAATACAAAAGACAACAGAGAAATAAGGGAGGAGGAGGGAGGAGCGAGACTAATCTAAAGAAATTAGAATTGCTACAAAAATGGCGAAAACGAAACTGCAAAAAAATTAAAAAGACTCCAGAATCTGCCGGAGGGTCTTCTAAGTAGACAGCGAGTCTTCAAAGCTTTCTGGCATCGTTGCAAGAAACGGGCTGGGGTCCGAGGTGAGAAGGTACCTTAGAAGAGAGTGGTGATGGACGGAAGAGAGAGAGGGTCATTAAAAATGTAGAGCTACATTGAGAAAAAGAGCCCCATGGTGAGAAGGCTCAGGAGAAAAGAAAAGTGTATGATAGATAAGAAAGAGTAGTAGAAGAACAGAAGAGCAACCAAGAAAGAAAAAGAAATGAGTTCTAAAGAAAGAGAAGGAGAAAAGAGGGTAGGAGTGTGAGACAGGAAGAGAATAGAGGAAAGAATTGAGCTTTTGATGGCGAAGGTATTTCAGAGGAAAGAATGCTGAATTTGTTGCTGTAGTGCATGAGGTCTTCAGAACTCCCATCCTTACTAACCTAGCTGCTGTATTGAGAGCGAGAAGGGAGGGGGGTGGGGGGGGTGGACGGTATGGAGAGACATAAGACGGAGGTAGATGACGAGGGGTAATCAGAGAGATAAGGTTGACAGAGAGGGGATTGGCAGAAGTAAGGGCGGATAAGAGCAGAAGAGAAAAGGATGGAGAGCTCGAGAGAGTGATGTTCTTATTGTTTTGTTTTTTTTCTCTTTTTTCTAAAGCATAAGTCCTACTCTAATATTATGTATTAAAAAGGGGAAAATACATGGTATTTTTTTATTGATCATCTTGATTATCCAACAAAAGAGAGTCAAGAATTTGAAAATTCAAAAATACAACATATGAAATATTGCACAGCAAAAATATATAGGAAAAATTTAAATAAAAATATAAAAGTGCACACGTTGGCCAACCTTAAATGTTAAATTACAACCAAATTGTGCATAACTCCATCCTTAAACAAACATCCACCTCTACCTCAAGATTTCATTTACACATAAGAAAAATACATTAAAAGACTTGAAACAAAAACAAAAAATTATATCATCATCATCAAAGCTTTTTCCCAACTATCTGGGGCCGGCTAGAAAAAATTATATAAATGAAAAAAAAAAGGATATATGCTACCATCCAAGTTAGATTAACTGAAGGACTTCAATCTACATTGCAACATAAGAGTGGAGTTCAATATACATTTCATACAATAATCAACATCTCAATATTAATGGTCAACAAATTACAAGTTTCAGTAAATAACAATGATAATTATCCATAAAGTATAAAATTTAATGGACAAAATAGTTAAAAAAAAAGTAGAAATATTAGACCTCTTACGCACTTCAATCAACATTACCAACGTGAAATTAAAAATATTGATAACCCATGAGACACCTATCACAATTATTCATTAAAAAAAAAGAGTATCATACATAAAGGAATGAAAATTTAACAGGAGTAGTAGATAATATTAATGTATTGCATTTAAGCTGAACTAGTAAATAAATAAAACAACTGAGGCATACCTTCATTTGCATGGTTGGTGAAGAGTGACGAAGAAGCAAATGTGTAAAAGAGCAAATATTTTTTGAATAAATGAAAAAGAGAAATACTACGAAACGTCATAGAAGATGACATTAGGGGAAGTAGGAAAGAGAGGTAGAGGGTGTTATGACTTGTTGGAGAACATATGATAAAGGTTTCACCAACAATTTAAAATATTATGAAAAGACTTCCCTGGTTTAAAAGATTATGAATAGTTTTGAAGGGAAGTAGGAAACAGAGGTAGAGGGTGTTGTGACTTGTGAGAGAACATATGATAGAGATTTCACCTACAATTTAAAATATTATGAAAAGACTTCCCCTGGTTTAAAAGATTAGGAATAGGTTTGGCATTTGAACTAGGATTAGGAGATTTGGATAGGCGAGAAAGAGAAAGAGAGATTCTTTACTTGTCTACTTTTAAGAAGATCTTTATATTTAGTTATATTGTTTTTAGTATTAGAGATTTTTTATAAATATTAGAGAATTTTTATAACATGACGATTATCTAGATTCCTTAAAGTTGGGATTTCCTTAGGATTCTAATAGCCAAGGGTTTTTTTTAGATTTTTATTCTCTCTCTTTCAAAAAATCTAGAAAGATATACCTCCATACACTTCAAAAAAGAAAAAAAATACTTCTATATTTTTTTTGAAAATTCTATCCAAGTCTCTCTTCTATGACATCTTTGTCTATCCTAAAAGATGGGATTTTATTTGTTTTAAAAATGGAAAAATATCCTATATAGTCTACCTCAAAACTCACTAACCTGCCCCACATTATCTTAATGATAGCATGCCTTTCTATTCTTGCAACATGTGTCCACCCCTTAACTGTTGCTTAATAAGATAGTATAGATATAAGGAAACTGCTATTTTAGAAAACCATATTTATGACGATTGTGTGATCATAAAATTTGCACACACACTCTCTTCATCTCAATAATCAATCCCAAAAACGAAAACTTTGAATTTGTGCCCTAGAAATGAGGAAAAATACGTCCTTCTCTGAGGAAGGATCCATACCATTCATTTTGTGATTGTTGAGATCTCAGCCGATACGAACTCAAAATCAATATTTTCTTTTTCAAATTTGTATATCAATGATGATAAGGCCATAAAAAATCAGTGATAAAAAGAATTGCTCTAGGGCCTAGACCTAATCAACCCATCAAATGGATGGCCTAGGTTCATCAAGTTAAAAAATCACTACTTCAGGTCATCACCATCATCATCAGAGCCTTATCCCAACTATTTGGGGTCGGCTACATGAATCTTGTTCTGCCATTCTGCTCTATCAAACGACCATACCCTCAGTAAGACCTATAAGCTCTTACAGGAAATCACTCCCTAAGGTGATTTCCCAAAATCCTTTTTTTTTTTGTTTAAGGGAGATTGTTCATCCTAGTGATAGGAGTGTATAGTGAAATTTTTTGGTTCATCAAATGCACCTAGCATAGTATGTTAAAGTGTATTTGATTACATTATCATAAGATAATCGCATTAAACCACTCCCCTTAATTGTTTATTTACTTATTTGCGCATTGTATTCATATGTGGGACGAGGCCACTCTCACAAGCATAAGATGATGAACAAGAAGTATTTAGGGATACAAAAATAAATGTGACTTTTATCAATTTATTCATCACCATCATGATCATCATTTGAGCTTTATCCCAACTATTTGGAGTCATCTACAAAAGTCACGTTCCACAATTCTACTCTATCAAGGGCCATACCCCTAGTCAGACCATAAGTCATCACATCTCTTCTCACTACTTCCATCATGTCCTTTTGGGCCTTCCCCTTGCCCTCTTAAGGCCTTCCACTGAACCAAATCACCCTCCTAACCAGTGTTGTTCTAGGTTGACGTTGCACATTGCCAGACCAACTAAGTCTACTTTCCTCATCTTATTGTTTATTCGAGCCACCCCTAAGTTCCCTTGGATGTATTCATTTTGAATTCTATCGTTTCTTGTCTTGCCACATATCCATATCAACATCCTCATCTCATAGATTGGGAGGCACCATTGACGGGGATGTCTATGAGAAAATTAAGGGAGATTGAAGAGAAGTCAGCCATATAATGGGAGATATCATGGCAGCCGTTAGACTGAAGGCTCCATCTGATGACGTTGAAATCGCCACCAGAACCCAAGGTCTGGGGGGGAATTGGCAATAGTATTGAGTCCGTCCCAAGAAGTAAGTGTAAAGCATGCTCTATTAGGGCCATAGATCAAAGTAAACTTCCAAAGAAAATTATCAAAAATCCTATAGAAGAAAATAGTAATGGAAAAAAGACCTAGGGAACTAGAAGAGACAGCAAGGATAGTGAGATCCCAAACGACCCACATTCCTCCCGAAGCACCTAAGGAATCCAAAACTAGCCATTGACATGGTCGCCAACCCCAAATGTTCCTAACCATATGAAGACTAGGTTGGGCAGATTTAGTCTTAGATAAAGCGAAAATGTCAAGTTGAAACTGAGAGGAGAAAGCACACACTGTAGACTTCTTTAGGGAGTCCCCAATCCCCTTAATATTCTATATGAGGATCGTCATTAGGGGTGGTAATAGAGGGGCCATGACACTTAGGTAGCGTCTATGAGGAGAGGAAACGGTCGGGGGAAGGGAAATGTGGGCCAACTCAGAGCCATCGTGTCATCTAGGTTAAGGTCTGAGGATAAATAAATTAATTCTCTCATCCCTTTGAATTTACCTAATGGGCATTGTTTTTGTAGAACCTGGAGAGGTCTAAGATGGGGCCTTCATAGGAGAAACACATTTGTTGAAGCATCTCTTCAAAGTGAGGAATGTTGCATTCAATGTGTTCTACCTTTGCCAAATAAAATTAAGGGACTTATGGTGAATATTGAGACTCCTGAGGAGAGCTTGTAGCTAGGTTCTGGTTTAGCTGTGGTGATTTTTAAGACTGTGGGGATCGATGGGGGTAATGATGCGGCGCCTTGGAAGTGGTACATGGGGAAGGATTCCTAAATGTACTCGTCAGGGAAGGGTGGGGATCAATGAGAGATAATAAAAGGGATCATATAGGGAGGTAATGGGAAAGGAAAGGTGGCAGGAATTAAAAGATCTTAATGCTTCTTGATGGTTGAGATGTGCCATGTCACATAGTGTCATTGGGTCAGGTAAGAGGTTCGTGAGGGTAGGGGATGGATGTATGCGGCACGTGGCACATGGCACAGAGTGGTAAAATGTCTAGGTGGTTTTGGTTTGATTCAATGGTTCTGGTTTGGGTGGGTTTGTGGAAACCAAAACTAAGCTTCCTTAAGCCTCCTTAATTCCTCTTACAAGATTTTGTCTAAAATGTTTGCTTCTAGACTCAAACTGGTCCTAGATCAAGTAGTCTCCCATAATAAAAGTGGTTTTGTTCACAACAAGTAGATTCTAAATAGTTTGATCATAGCTCACGAAGCTATCCATGACTATCGTCAATCTAGGAAACCTGGTCTCCTTTTCAGGCTCGATTGGGAAAGGGCTTATGCTCACTAGAATGGTCGATTCTTCTCCAAATCCTTTCCAAAATGAGGTTCCATCACTAATTCATTTAGTGGATCCAAGCTTGCATCTTTTCTACCTCCTTCTCAGGGCATACTAATGGATCACCTAAAGGATACTACTCACCAACTAGAGGCTTGCATAGAGGGGGCCCATTGTCCCCTTTCCTATTATGACTGAGATCTTCAGCAAGTCCATTTCTAGAGTTTTCAAAGAGGTACCCATGAAGGTTTTGAAACCTCTTCTCAAAGAGGTACCCTTGAAGTTTCCAATCACAAGGCCTTTGCCAGACTTTCGGCCAAACTTTTGGTGGCAACTTTCCTTCGTGACTGGGAAAATATTCTCCACCTTGAAGCCCCTCAGGTCTCAAGAGCTAACAACTGGTTGCCTCCCCCATAAGGCATCATCAAGTTTAATTTCGACGGATGCTCCCTTAGCAACCCAAGCTCAGCTGGAGCTGGAGGGGTCTTCCAAGGCCACAGCGGCAATATGTTGGCTTCATTCTCAGAGCACTTAGGCCACGCAGACTCTCAGCTTGCAAAGTCTATGGCACTCCTATTGGGCCTATAGAGGTTCGACCAATCATGGGGATCACATTTGTTCTTCAAGGGGATGCCAAGAACATAATCTCTTGGGATTCTGGAAATGCCCCCCCTCCCTAGTACTTCGCCTCAATTTTTGATGAAATTGCGCATATTTGCAAGGATATAGTCGTCTCTTGCATGCATACCTGGAGGAAGTCAAATGCCTTGGCAGACCAACTAGCTAAGGACGGTGCTAGGGCCCAAGCTGAAGCCCCCTCATAACTTGCTTCGACTATCGTTATGTCGCTGGTCCATCTCCTTGTTTGCTATGGACCATTTCTTGTAATTGGGCATCTGTTATAAGCCCCCTTATTTTTTGTACAGAGCTACTGTTAAGTGGCCTATTTTTTGGTTGAGAGACTCGGACTGTGGGTACTTTCGACATTTACTTATGTATACCCTTCATTTATAGTAATACAATCGTCAACTTCATCAAAAAAAAAAAGGGAAACATATCTGTGATTTTCAATACGCAGATGACACCCTCATCTTCCTAAAAGCAACTTCTGATCAGATTGACAGCCTTTGGACCTTCCTCAAATGTTTCAAATTGGCTTCGCATTTGAAAGTCAACATGTCCAAATCCAAATTGTTAGGCATCAATGTTTAGGTAGATCATCTACAACTTCTTGTAAATGGGCTTGGATGTGATATTGATACTCTTATGACCAAATACCTCAGTCTCCCGCTTTGTGTTGGGAATACTAGGAGAGATTTGTTGAACCCTATATTGGAGAATTTCCAGAGGAGATCAACCCCTTGGAAAGGACGATTCCTCTCCCTAGGAGGTAGGATCACCCTTATCAAGTTTGTTCTCCCTTGCATACACATGTATGCCATATCTATCTTCATCATGACTACTCTCACTATCAACATCCTCAACAAGCTCATGGGGAACTTTCATTGGTTTAATGACATCTCTAAGAAAAAGATTCCCCGCATCGTTTAGGAAAAGGTTTACCAACCTAAAAGTTCTGATAGGCTTGGGATTCAAGATCTCATACTCACCAACAAAGCTTTACTAGGTAAGTAGTGGTGGCGGTTTTCCACCAACCAATAATTCCTTTTTGTGGCATGTCCTTAGCCAAAAATATGGCGCTTAACAATTTGGCCTGATATATACTCTTGTAGGGATAGCTTCATGTTGTGCATCAGATACGAAGTCAACTCAAAACTAAAGTCTTGTTCTAGAAGAATTTGTGGATTGCGGACACTGCCCTTCAAAACTTATGGCCTAACGTTTTTTTCACTGGCTACTAACCTTGATGCCACAATTTCCACCTAATTTCATCCAACAACACCCAGCAAATCTGGGCTCCTATCTTTAGAAGGACCTTACAAGACCATGAATTTGACTTATTCCTTAGGCTCCTCAAACACTTATCCACCGTCTTCATCACAGGAGTTGGGGTGGATAGACCCATTTGGACCAAACACCACTCTGGAAATTTCCATGTAGCCTCCTACCACAAATCTTTCACCATCAACCACCTCTTAACCTCACAATCCATCATAAAGCTTAGCCAACCAATACTCGACCAAGACGTCAAGCTTTTTCTTGCCCTTCTATTTTTCATAGAAACCTAACCATAGATCAACTCCAAAGAAGAGGTTTTATCCTTGCCAACAGGTGCCATATGTGTGAGGAAGAAGTGGAGTCTCACTCCCACCTTTTCATCCACTGTCACTTTGCACAATTAGTTTGGGGCAAGCACTCAAGGGACTTAAATTACATGTGGGTCACTCCCCCTGATATTAAAGCCCTTTTGGTTGTGCACATCTGGCCCCGTTTTACCAGGGCAGGGACCTTCTAGTGAAGAGCCTCCATCCAAGCGATCTTATGGTCTATTTGGAAGGAGTGCGGAAAAGTTGAAAACACTCACCACCTTTTGGGCTTCCATCTCTAACTTCCAAAATAACTGGCTCCAAATCACAAACTCGAGAATCTAAAAGCCGTCTCAATCAGGCACTTGGATCCCTCCATCCCAAGGCACCATTAAGGCCAATATCGATGGTTGTTCTTCAGGCAGCCCAGGTCCATACAGAGTAGGAGGTGTTTTTAAAGATTATAATAGTAATTGCCTTCTTTCTCCATCCACATTGGCCAAGAAGACTCAGATTGGGTGGAGGCTATTGCCTTACTCGAAGCTGTGACGAGGTTTCAACCCAGCTGGTGTATCAATTTAATCATCGAGGCGACTCTCGTAATGTCATTGATTGGGCTCATGTTGGTTGCCTTTATTCACTCCTCAAGAGTTTTTGCAATTATTACAAGGCTATTAATATAATTTCACCTTCGTCCCAACAGGTGTTATACTGAGTCAGCGCTACAAATAGCCAGCCCAACTAACTCTACTTTCTCTCATCTTATAATTGTCTTGCCACTCATCTATCTCAACATCCTCATCTCAGCCACGCCCATCCTATGGGTAGGTTGTTTCTTGACCGCCCAACATTACACCCCATAAAGCAAAGCTGGTCTCACAGCTATCCTATAGAACTTGCCCTTCAACTTCATCTGTATACAGCAATCACATGAAATTTTGGTTGCACATCTCCACTTTGCCCACCCAGCTCTAATTCTATGTGCGACACCTTCCTCAATCTCTCTATTTGCCTAGATTATCGACTCAAGATATGGAAGTGCGCTCTTTTTGGTGTTTCTTGGCCGTCAATCGTAACTACTTCCTTGTCTCTACTCCTGTTATTACTAAACTTGCATTCCATAAACTGTCTTAGTCTGGTTAAGTTTACAATCTTTAGATTCTAGAGCATCCCTCCAAAGTTCTAACTTTGTGTTGATGTTGCTTCGGGTCTCATCAATCAAAACTATGTTGACACGAAAAATATACACCACTGTACCTCATCTTGTAGGTGCCTAGTTAAGTCGTCTATAACTACGACAAAGTGAGTTGGGCTCAGTGTCGAACCCTAAAATAGACCTATTGTCACTGAAAACCGACTTATCGCTCCACTAATTGTCCACACACTACCTAGCGCACCCTTGTATATTTTCTCACCAAGTCCATGTAGCATCTGCAAACCCCTTTCATTTCCAATACCCACGAAATTAAATATCGAGGTACTTTATCATAAGCTTTCTTTAGATCAATAAAGACCATTTGGAGGTCATTTTCCTTTGCCCTAAACTACTCACTCACTTGCCTAGGTAGGAAAATAGTCCCAATTGTTAACCTCTGACATAAAACCGAATTGGTTTTGGTTTTCTAATACGTTTTATGAAATACATTCAATGATTAAAAATAGGTATAAAGCAGCTAACACCCTCTCAAGAGCACAAGTTTCAATTCTATGCATTTGAAAAACATACATCTAGCAATGAACCTTATGTAAGCGAAGATGAGAAGCAGAAGACGATATGCAACAGCAAAAATGATAAAATGTTTTTTTGAAGAAGAAGAAGAAGGTTAACTTTGTAATAATAAAATAAAAGTTACAAAAGAGAACAGAAGATGCAGCCCACAGCATGTGTACTCAATATACAATGATGATGCGAAGAAAGAATAATATGAAACAATAGAGACAGAGAAGGGGAACAGAGAGAGGCTTTATAACATAGCTGAACAAAACCCAATAAAAATAAATAATACAAACACTTCAGATTTTATAAAGTTTTCTTAGCAGCCTTAGAGTCTTAACAGTCGCAAAGGTCGTACTGCAGGAGGTGATCAGGAACTGAAAGAGTGAAGGCTTAATGGGAAAAATCCGCAACATCGAGAGAACGAGGGAGAGTTAAGGGAGAGCGATGAAGATAAAAAGGAAAGTGTGAGAGAGCGAGAGAGAGAGAGAGAGAGAGAGAGAGAGAGAGAGAGAGAGAGAGGAGAGAGAGAGAGAGTGACGTATAACGAAAGACGACGTAGAACTACGAACCTAAATATTACTAACGACACGAGTAGGGTAAGGGGAAAAGGGGGGTAGTAG